AAATACCGCATAAAATTAAAATTACAAAAAATTATAAAATGAAATTACAGAATTGAAGAAAAAGTTCATAGGAAAGTCATTTAGTTCCTAGGAAAACCTGTCTTGTTTTCCTCCAATAGAAAACAAAACTAATTAATAACAAATTATACATAATAATAACTTGGGAAGTGAAACTTGGTTATCATATTTTAATTTTTTTGGACACTTCGCAAAAAATAGCAAAAATAACTTACCTACATTGGTATTAGGAATGGTAGTAGCTGTTGCAAGTTGTAATTTATATATTTTTTTTCCCCACAGATCTCCAGTAATGTTCTGGAACAAATTACTAGTTTTGCCTCCGGAACATCATACCACCTTCCTCTGGCTCACCACATACAACTTATCTTTGATCTTATGGAGCCGGCACTAAATATCAATGGCCTTATTGACTTTGCCATACAGGTAACAAGCAATCGCTTTATGCGTATGTAAGTCCGGACAAAGTTACATTATAACTTTTCTGCAAATAGCTCACATCTGACAAGTAGTTGTGTGGTTTGTGTAACAGTGTTGAACACAATGGACTACTGTAAAAATAAAATTCCCTTAGCTGTTAGTAATTTTCCATTTTTCTTATAAATATGAAGGTAACATTCATTTTAAACAGAAATGTTTAAAATGCAGCAATATTATCACTATTAATAGCTCAAGAGCAATATTAATTATATATCTGGCTAACAGCCTTGGCACAAGGATAGCTATCAGACTGTGAATGGGAAGACCCAGGTTCTTCCAGCTGTGCTGCTTCTGTGTATACATGTGCAAGCCTCAGTTTCCCTATCTACAGCCTTCTGTGCCTGATGCATCCTTTTGCAACCCTTTGAAATCTGTGAACCAAAGCAGCTATATAGTACATTTATGGTCTATAATCATACCTTAACTTTTCTCAGTATAATCATATTTAAAATGTAGTTTTAGTTATCAAACCAGCAAATCCAGATCATCTTATTAAATAAAGGTTTTGGTGGATGCTTTAGTCTGTAGCACTTTGCACCTCTGCCTTTAATGCAACCCCAGGTGTTTAGACACAAGAAAGGAATCAGAACTTGTGGTAGATTCCACAACAAGATTTTTGCAAAAAGATACAACTTTTATCACGAGTTCATATTCTTTTGCCTGTAGACCAATACGGCTACAACCTGGATACTAGACAGAAGAAAGATACTAGATGCATGAAGAAAAATTCCGTGGGTTCTTTAAAAAAATTTTTTTTACAGCTTTGTTGCGCTCTCTCTCTTGTGTATAAGGAATTTTTAAATATTTAATAATCATAAAGAATTTTAAAATGGTATTAATTGGTATTGCAATGTTTTTCCTTACTGATGAATACTGGAAATTCTTTTAAATTTAGAAACACACTTCAATTCTGTTTTTTCTTATATCTTAGTTGTTAAATGAACTGAGTGTTGTGGAAGCAGAATTACTGCTGAAGTCATCCAGTCTAGCAGGAAGTTACACAACAGGATTGTGTGTGTGCATTGTTGCTGTTCTGCGCCGTTACCATGCCTGCCTGATCCTTAACCCTGATCAGACTGCACAAGTTTTTGAAGGGTTTGTAACTGCTATGTTTTCCAGTGATAATCACAGTGTTTATAGTTGAACTAAAAATATTTTAGCATTTGTAATATTTAAATATCTCTCTCAGCTCTGTCAGATGCATTGTGTGGAAAAGGTTTAAAAATAATTCGGTTAAACTGGTGCAGAGCCCTGCTTTTGATTTTGAGATCAGATTATTTTGACAATATAAGGCCATGCAGTAGAGTCAAGTGGTAACTGAATAGACCACTTAAGTAGTGCTGTCTGTTATAGTAAGTGCCTGAGGCTGCGTTTTGCTAGGTACTACGCAGACTTCTTATAAAACAGCTCGCAGTGCAGCAAGCTGTGACAGGTAGGCGTAGAACACTGATTGTTCGAGTGGGACAATGAAGGATATCATGTAGGTAACTCCAAATATAAAATCCCAAATGCAGAGAATACCATGCTTTTCTTCCTGAACCATACACTGTCAACAATTATTTTAGGCACAGGAAGAGATGATGTATTCTTCTGGTTACGCTGTTAGTGATATTAGAAGAAAACTGAATTCCATTGAAGTGAAGCCCAGTATAGTTCTTCTTAACATATCCTGAGCTTGACGTAGATAAGGTGTAAATAGTCATTTTGTTTTCCTTTGTAATTGTTAGGCTGGGAGTTGGATGAGGTGATGGTTGTACTTTTTGATCTCCTGTTACCCTGAATTCTCTGTGGGCAGACCCATGTCACTCAAATGAAATGATCTGGGTGTCACGGTCTCTCTCACAGGTAATTCTGCAGGACTGTGCTTGTGTGTGTAAAATCCTGTGAATGTTTCAAATGAAACCCTTCTACCTATTGCTGGTCCATTCTTTATTAACTCTGTGTTTAGTTCCTGGGGACACTTGTTGTTTTAAAGGTAGTAAAATGTTTAAAAAGTTTGGGTTGGAATTAAACACTCTCTTTTTTTCTTTAATTTGTTTTTGCAGATTATGTGGTGTTGTCAAGCATGTTGTTAATCCATCAGAATGTTCATCCCCTGAAAGATGTATTTTAGCTTACCTCTATGACCTCTATGTATCATGTAGTCACCTGAGAAGCAAATTTGGAGACCTTTTCAGGTTGGTAGGAAAAAGATTTTATAACTTAAATTCAGCTAGGACAAGGACTAACCAGGCTTAGGGGTGACTTGGTGGCAGCCTATAAGGGGATGCATCAGGAACTGGGAGAATGTCTGTTCAGCAGGACACCCCAAGGGAAGACGAGGTCTAATGATCACAAAATGCTGGAAGACCATATTAGACTGGACAGAAGGAAAAAATTCTTTACCGTCTAAGTCTCCAGAGTCTGGAATAGGCTTGCCCCAGAAGTGGTGCAAGCATTTACTCTGGATACCTTTAAGAAACACTTGGATGCTTATCTTGCTGGGGTGATCTGGCCCCAGCTGATTTTTTGCCCCTGGGGCAGAGGGCTGGACCCAATGATCTTGTGAGGTCCCTTCCAGCTCCAGATATCTATGAAATCTATTCAATTTATGTAACAAATAAGCAGACTGCTGCTTTCTGGGTCACGCTAATGAACAATTAAATTCTACTCATTTACCCCAGAAACTTGAACCTTTTTCTGCCTTCTTA